CGTGGTGGCTCACTAATCCCAGCACTTTGGGAGGCTGAGGCGGGTGGATCACCTGAGGTCAGGAGTTTGAGATCAGCTTGGCCAACATGGTGAAACTCCGTCTCTACTAAAAACACAAAACTAGTCAGGCGTGGTGGCGCATGCCCGTAGTCCCAGCTACTCAGGAGACTGAGGCAGGAGAATCGCTTGAACCCGGGAGGCAGAGGTTGCGGTGAGCCGAGATCATGCCATTGCACTCCAGCCTGGGCAACAAGAGTGAAACTCTGTCTCAAAAAAAAAAAAAAAAAAAAGAGAAAAGAAAAAGAATCTTTCCTCTCACCTATTCTTCCCCTGTGAATATCCTTCCCAGATTCTGGCACCCACTTATGGGCTTCAAAGTCACTTAAAATGTGGTTCAAAGACCACTTATTTTAGAATCACCTGAGAAGCAGGTTAAAAATACAGGTTCCAGGCCCGGTGCCATGACTCATGCCTGCAATCCCAGCACTTTGGGAGGCCAAGGCAGGTGGATCGCTTGAGCTCAGAAGTTTGAGACCAGCCTGGGCAACATGGCCAAACCCCATCACTACAAAAAATATGAAAAAATTAGCCAGGCGTGGTGGCAAGTGCCTGTGATCCTAGCTACGTGCAGGGCTGAGGCAAGAGGATCGCCTGAGCCCAGGAGGTCGAGGCTGCCGTGAGTCCTGTTTGCACCACCGCACTCCAGCCTGGGTGACAGAGTGGGACCCTGTCTCCAAAAAAAAAAAAAAAAAAAGATTAACCAGGCATGGTAACGAATGCTTGTAATCCCAGCTACTTGGGAGGCTGAAGCAAGAGAATCACTTGAACCCAGGAAGCGGAGGTTGCAGTGAGCCGAGATCACGCCGCTGCACTCCAGCCTGGGCGACAGAGCCAGACTCCATCTCAAAACAAACAAACAAAAAGACAGGTTCTAAACATCAGGCCTAGGAATCTATATTTAAACCTGTTCTATAAGCGATCCAGAGGCGCAGCAAAGGTTGAGAGGTGTTTCAGATGTAGCTTCATCCCAGCTCCCAAAGTGCCACAAATTGCACAAAGTGCTGGTGCTCATGGGAAGGCCACATCCTTGCCCCCCATCCTCTCCACCATGCCCTGACCGTCTCCTTGATCTTGTCCCAGCACTGTCTATTGAGACCTCAAGTCCCTCTTCTAGCAGGAGCCTGGGCCCCGGGATAGGCAACTTTTGTTCTAACCCTACTCCTGATACCATATTTTCTTTTTTTTCCTCCTTTCCTTTTCTTTCTGTTCTGATTCTCACCAACGTTCATTTTTAATTTTTATCTTTAAAAATCTTTTATAGTTATGTAAACAACGTCAAACTTCTTTCCGGAGCTAGGTGATGAATAACCAAATAGGGGAAGGAATTTCAATTGCTCCTAATCCTATATTAGTCCCTGTGCAGATGGGCCTAATGAGTACTGCACCAGGATTTCTAATTATCCTTAATGAGCTTCTAAAATTCATGGGGCATGATAGAGTGAGGTTGTTAATCAAATGGCCCAATGAATCAAGCCTCCTGGTATCTACGCCCTTGGATAGGCCCCTCCCATGGTGACTCTGGGATTGACTTGCTTTGGCTAGTGGGACATCAGTGACTATGACACAGAGGCCAGATAAGTGCTTGTGATTTGGGGCTTACTCTCTTAGCGCTGTCCTGGAACCACCATGTGAACCTAGGCTACATGGTCATCCTTGAGGATGAAAGACCTCATGAAGAGTGAGGCTTAACCATCCCCACCGTCGCAGCTGAACCCAGCCTGCAGTCATTCTTCCAGCTCAACGTAGCTGCACAAGTAAGCCCTGGAAAAATCAGTAGCAGAATGCAGCCAACCCATATATTATCATGAGAAATAAAAAACCATTACTGTTTTAAGCCTAAGTCTTGGGTGGTTTGTTATGCAGCAATAGCTAACTGATACAATGGGTCACAGTAACACTCACAGGACAATATTTCTATGCCACTATTTCCACTTGATATTCTGGAGCTTCATGTACATCTGTTGCAGTGAAGCAATAAAACAATACAGTGGCTTAAACAAGATTGTTTATTTTCTTGTATGTAAGAGGTTGGAGTTACGTGGTTCATGTCTGGTGGGGCAACTGTGCCCACCCTCAAAATGGCCCTTCTGGCTGGGCGCAGTGGCTCATGCCTGTAATCCCAGCACCTTGGAAGACAGAGGTGGGCATATCACTTGAGCTCAGGAATTTGAGACCAGCCTGGGCAACATGGCGAGACCCTGTCTCTACTGAAAATACAGAAAATAAGTTGGGCGGCTGGGCGCAGTGGCTCCTACCTGTAATCCCAGCACTTTGGGAGTCCGAGGAGGGTAGATCACAAGGTAAGGAGTTCAAGACCAGCCTGGCCAAGATGGTGAAACCCCGATTCTACTAAAAATACAAAAATTAGCTGGGCATGGTGGCAGGTACCTGTAATATCAGCTACTCTGGAGGCTGAAGCAGAGAATTGCTTGAACCCGGGAGGAAGAGGTTGCAGTGAGCCGAGATCATGCCACTGCACTCCAGCCTGGGTGACAGAGCAGACTCCGTCTCAAAAAAAAAAAAAAAAAAAAAAAGAGAAGAGTGAGATGGGAAAATGCCCAATTCTTTGGCACATACTACTTCAATTCTTATTTCTTTGCTAAAGCTTGGGCCCATAGCTCCACCTAGTTGCAAGGGAGACTGGGAGATATACTTTCTTTCTTTTTTTTTTTTAAATTGAGATGAAGTCTCGTTCGCTCCGTCGCCCAGGCTGGAGTGCAATTGCGCGATCTCGGTTCACTGCAACCTCCATCTACTGTGTTCAAGCAATTCTCCTGCCTCACCCTCCCAAGTAGCTGGGGTTACAGGCTCCTGCCATCACATCCAGCTAATTTTTGTATTTTTAGTAGAGACAGGGTTTCATCATGTTCGCCAGGCTAGTCTTGAACTCCTGACCTCAAGTGGTCTACCCACCTCTCCTAAAGTGCTGGGATTACAGGCGTGAGTCACTGGGCCTGGCCTGGGAAATGTACTTTCTAGCCAGGCAGCATGTACCCAGCTAAAATATGGTCATTCTATTTATTAAAGAGAGAAGGAGAAACTGCACATTTGAGGATGACTAGCAGTCAATGCTGTGTAGTCTGCCTCCAGGGTTCTCAGCAGTGTTCTCAGTAAATATGAGTATCGCATGGATTAGGTGGTTTAATTTCTCATCATAAAACAAAAACAATCGTAGCCTATGAATTGGTTAGGGAGATTCAGGCCACAAGTAACAGAATACTAAACTAAAAGTTGCCAAAAGAGTTGGGAGTTTCCTAGCTTAGGCAACATAAGAGGAGACTTCTATCTTTGCAAATAATTTTTTTTTTTTTTTGGAGACAGAAGCTCGCTCTGTTCCCAGGCTGGAGTGCAGTGGCGTGATCTCGGCTCACTGCAACCTCCACCTCCCGGGTTCAAGTGATTCTTCTGCCTCAGCCTCCCAAGTAGCTGGGACTACAGGCACACACCACCATGCCTAGCTAATTTTTGTATTTTTAGTAGAGACGGGGTTTCATCATATTGGCCAGGCTAGTCTTGAACTCCTGAACTTGTGATCTGCCTGCCTCAGCCTCCCAAAGTGCTGGGATTACAGGCATGAGCCACCGTGCCCAGCCTTCTCCAAGTAATTTTTAAAAATGAGCCAGATGTGGTAGTATGTGCCTGTGGTCCCAGCTACTCAGGAGGCTGAGGCAGGAGGATCATCTGAGCCTGGGAGGTCAAGGGGGCAGTGAGCCATGATCACGCCACTGCAGTCCAGCCTCCAGCCTCTGCAATGGAGTGAGAGTGTCTCAAAAAAAAAAAAAAAAAAAAAAAGCAGGGGTTTTATCTTAAGATATCTTGGGGTAGACCCTTTTTGAGTCAAGCCCTTCATGGTTGAAAGATGACTACAGTGGCTCCAAGCATCATATCCACAGAGAACAACTAAATAACAGCTATTTTATATTGAGTGCTTATCATGTGCTAGAACTGTCTGGGCATTTTAAGTGTATTCACTCATTTGATTTTCACAGCACCCTGTGAAGAAAGTCCAATTATTTTCACTTTGTAGATGAGGAACATCTCTTTTTATTAGAGGAGGAAAATTCCTCCCAGAAGCCCCCAGCAGCTTCCCCCTCCTATCTCATTGGCCAGAACAGGGTCCCATGGTTCTCCCCAACCCAATTACCAGCAGAGGGGAGTGGATCAGATGTAAATATCCCAGTCACCATCCACCTGGGGGTAATTAGTGCATTGTCCTCCCACCAGAACAAAACAAGCTTCTTTTAGCAAGGAAGCAGGGGGCAAATGTCTGCCCCCCAGGCAGAACCCGTGGTTGGTAGCTGGGGTCCGCCAGCCCACTGGGATTGAAATAAGGTTGGCTCAGACCCGATCTCTTACTTTCCACAAGGCTTCTGCAATTTCTCAGGCTTACAATTGTGTGCCTCTGATTTCCGGCTTCTGCTGAATTCTAACAGCTGTTCCCTTTATTTCTGCCCTGGAATTGACTCAAATGTAGGATGCAGCCCGTTTCTTCTCCCAAGAAACCGTGGATACCAGACTGCTCTGTAAGCAGAATTTCACTGAGGCTTTGTGGGTCCCTGGAAGAGTTATAGAGTGGCTCAGCACACGACTGAAAGTGGCACTGGGACGTCCCTGCTCTTACAAGCTGGTTTCTCAGGCATCCTCCAGCCCCACCCGCTCAGGACTGCTGCTCCCATCTGCGGGTGCCCATCTACCCCACTCCCTCCTTCAGCCCCTGCCCAACACCTCAATACCCCAGGGGCTTCCAGTTCTCACACAGGAGACCCTGCAATTCGGCTCTCCCTAACCCCTCCTGCTCTTCCTAAACCAGGCTGCCAAGCCAAACCCAGTAAGTGCCTTTTACGAACAAAAGGGCCTTTTAGTTAATGCAGCAGGATCTACTTTCCTTAGAAGGAAGCTTTACTTATCAATAACAACCTTTCCCCTCTGGATTCCTCTAGGTGCATTGGAAATTCAAATTTCGGAATAAGCTGACTGCCAAGAGGGTCCTCCCCCTGTCGGGGCCTGTCTGAGCCCCTTAGTCCATGGGAAATTCACAGAGAAGGGAACGGTCACTTTTCCTGCACCTGAGAAGGTAAAAATCAACTGCTTTAGAAAGATACTGTCCTCCTTGAGTTTTCTAAATCCCTGTCCCAAAAACTGGTGCCTCTGCACACCTCAAGGAGTCAGCAGGCTGTCTGTCTCCGAGGCCTAAAAGCCTCAGGGATTTCTTTCTTTCTTTCTTTCTTTTTTGAGACAGGGTCTCGCTCTGTCACCCAGGCTGGAGTGTACTGGTGCGATCTTGGCTCCCTGCAGCCTCAACCTCCCAGGCTCAAGCCATCTGCCCACCTCACCCTCCCACATACCTGGGACTACAGGCGCACGTCACCACATTTGGCTAATTTTTGTATTTTTTGTAGAGAAAGGGTTTTGCCATGTTGGCCAGGCTGGTCTGGAATTCCTGGGCTCAAGAGATCCACCCACTCTGGCCTCCCAAAGTGCTGGGATGACAGGTGTGGGCCACCGCGCCCAACTAGCCTCAGTGATTTTATTTATTTACTTATTTATTTTTGAGACGAGTCTCGCTCTGTCACTCAGGCTGGAGTGCAGTGGCGCGGTCTCAGCTCACTGCAACCTCTGCCTGCCGGGTTCAAGTGATTCTCCTGCCTTAGCCCCCTGTGAGCCACCGTGCTGGCCAGCCTCAGTGATTTCTTAGGAGCCTATTGTATGCAATCTTGAGAGCTGAAGAAGTGAGAGGGACTCCCTGACCGCCATCCTACTTCTACAGAATCCTTGGCACCCCCACCAGTGTTCCTAGACTCCATCTCAGGACCAAGGTAGTGTAGACCCGAAGCCCAGCCCTATCCTGGCTCCCATGCATCCCACAACCTCTGGGGTAGAGGTGGTTAGAGGCACCCAGCTCCAGGCCTTGGCTGCCTTCTGTCTGCCCTGAGGGTCTGCTCAGATCAGGGCAATGCCTCCGCTAGGCTGGGGCTCAGCCTCAGCGTCCTCAGCACAGGCTCCCCACAGGGGGATTTCTACAACTTTCCAGCCCTGGCCCCCTGTTCAAGGGTTTGGCCTGAGGCAGGACTACAGCTGAGTTGCAGAGGAGGAGGAGGAGTGGGGAGAGAGCCGAGTAGTTCAGGTTGCCCCAGGGGAGACAGGAGGGAGGAGAAGAGGAGGAGGAGAGAGAGCGAAGGTCCTCAGAACCCAAGTGCGGGGCGGCCTCAGGAAGGTAGGTGACTTCTGTTATTCTCCCTGTGTGCTGTGTCTTTAGGAAAATTCCCCTCACACAACAGCCCAACAGCCTTATACCTGCAGTTGCTCTGGGAGCAGGGGAAAACGTCCTGCAGTTCTTGCTCCTCATTTGGGTCAACTCGACAGGGCTGAAATAAAGGCGACAGCTGCAAGGAATCAGCAGAAGCAGGACAGTGGCCATGAGCCGCCAGAGCTGGCAGAAACCTTGGAGGCTTTGTGTAGCCACGGTGACGGCCATGTCTGGGCTGGCACTCACTGTATGCCAGTCTCTAGAGAGGAGCCCGCGGTTGCAGACTGGGTTACATCTTTTCCCCTCTTCCATGCTGGGATTCTTAAATCTCTACCAGCAGATCAGCATCATCTGGAAACTTAAGAGGAATGCAAATTTGACCCCATCTCAGGCCTACTGAAGCCTCTGGTGGTGGGACCTGGAATTTTTTTTTTTTTTTTTTTTTTTTTTGAGACGGAGTCTGCCTCTTGTTGCCCAGGCTGGAGTGCAGTGGCACAATCTCAGCTCTTTCCTCTCTGCCAAATTTGTTTTTGTTTGTTTGTTTGTTTGGAGATGGAGTCTCGCTCTGTCGCCCAGGCTGGAGTACAGTGGCACAGTCTCGGCTCACTACAATTTCCGCTCCGGGTTCACGCAGTTCTCCTGCCTCAGACCTCTCAAATAGCTGGGCCTACAGGCGTTCGCCACCACGTCCAGCTAATTTTTTTTTTTTTTTTTTGAGACGGAGTCCTCGCTCAGTCCGCCGCAGGCTGGAGTGCAGTGGCTGAATCTCCAGCTCACTGCAAGCTCCACCTCCCGGGTTTACCCCATTCTCCTGCCTCAGCCTCCAACGCAGCTGGGACTACAGGCGCCCCGCTGCCACGCCCGGCTTAATTGGTTTTTTGCGTTTTTAGTAAGAGATGGGGTTTCACCGTGGTAGCCAGGATGGTCTCCATCTCCTGACCTCGTGATCTGCCTGCGTTGGCCTCCCAAAGTGCTGGGATTACAGGCGTGAGCCACCGCGCCCAGCCCCACTCTCTGCCTCTATTTGTTTAGGGGCAGGCATAGAATCCCATTCTAGTCAATGAGACAGAAGGGGGTTCTGGAAAGGTCCCCCACCCCCTTATGAAACAAGGAGGATGTCTGAGGAGAAGCTTTGCTGTGGCCTTTTGCCTTTGGATGCTGCCAGAGGGGTTAGAAGGCGGGGCTCCACAATCAGGCAGCTGGGGTGTGTATCCTAGCGGGAAGCCCAAGGGACAGTGGGACAAAAATAACAACAGTAATAGCAGCTAATGCTTCTTGAGGACTTTCCGCATGGCAGGCCCTATTCTAAGGACCTCGTGTAGCATATTTCACCCCCAAACAGCCCTGAGGTAGGTTCTGTTATTCCCATTTTATAAATGAGGAAACTGAGGCACAGACAGGTTTAAATAACTTGTTCGAAGTCATACAGCTCATACATGGAGGCCAGTACGCAGACCAGGTGTGGGGTACGGGCATCGCGGGCTACTTTAGGGACTCTGGCCTTTTCCTTAGCACAGTGGGAAGCTGGTGAAAAGTTGTAAGCAGGGGGGGCAGCTCTGACTTCCTTTTTTTTTTTTTTTTTTTTGAGACAGGGTCTCACTCTGTTGCCCAGGCTGGAGTGCAGTGGTGAGATCTTGGCTCACTGTAGCCTCAAACTCCTGGGCTCAAGTGATTCTCCCACTTCAGCCTCCTGAGAAGCTGGGACTACAGGCAAACGCCACCGTGGCTGGCTACTTTTTGTATTTTTTGTAGAGACAGGGTTTCACCATGTTACCCAGGCTGACTTTGAACTCCTGAGCTCAAGCAATCCGCCCACCTCTGCCTCCCATAGTGCTGGAATTACAGGCATGAGCCACCACATCAGGCCTGATTTACTTTTAAAAGTCACCGAAATGCTTTGTTCATAAAATTCTCTGCTGGGGACAAGCCAGCCACACTTGCATGGCTTGTTCTTCAGCCTCTTTTCCTCCCTGAGACATCAGTCCCTTAGCAAACCCAGCGTCTTGGGTGACTGGGACCAGGGTGACTCAACGGCAGATGCCGATGGGTGAGACAGCCACAAAGATGATCTTTGGCGAGTGAATTACAGGTGATTTGTTTAATTTAATTTTTTTTTTTTTTTTTGAGATGGAGTCTCACTTTGTTGTCCAGGCTGGAGTGCAGTGGTATGATCTCGGCTCACTGCAACCTCCTCCTCCCGGTTCAAGCTATTCTCTTGCCTCAGCCTCCAGAGTAGCTGGGATTCCAGGCGTGTGCCACCATACCCAGCTAATCTTTGTATTTTTAGTAGAGACAGGGTTTCACCATATTGGCCAGGCTGGTCTCGAACTCCTGACCTCAAGTGATCCACCAACCTTGGCCTCCCAAAGTGTTGGGATTACAGGAGTGAGCCACCACCTCTGGCCAGGTGATTTGTTTTAAATCTGAATTTTTACATTTTTCTATAATAAGTGACCATATATCACTTGCTATTTAAAAATCTTTTTTTTTTTTTTTTTGAGATGGAGTTTTGCCCTTGTTACCCAGGCTGGAGTGCAATGGCACGATCTTGGGCCACTGCAACCTCCGCGGGTTCGAGCAATTCTTCTGCCTCAGCCTCTGAGTAGCTGGGACTGCAGGCATGCGCCACCACGCCCAGCTAATTTTTGTATTTTTAGTAGATATGGGGTTTCACCATGTTGGCCAGGCTGGTCTCAAACTCTTGACTTCCGGTGATTCTCCTGCCTTGGCCTCCCAAAGTGCTGGGATTACAGGTGTGAGCCACCATGCCCAGCCAAAAGTTGTTATTTATAAAAAGAAAGACGAGGGGCCAGCACCCCACCCTCCCCAGAGTTGTTGACTCCTGCTGGTACTGGCTGTGGCTGAAGTCATCATCGTGGAGGCTAACCCTTGGAGGGCGGATAGTGCACTGGCAGCTTCCTAAGTGCTTTATGTGACCTGTATGAACTCATTTAATCCCCACTGGCTTGGCCGAGGCCATGGAGCTAAGAGTGGCAGGCTAGCATCCGGACTCTCAGCTACATAGCAGGCTGCTTTTCTGGAAATGGTTTCCAGTTTCTCCGTGAGTGAAAGGTCTGTCCTTCCCACATCTTCCACAGTGGAAGTGGCCTCCATTCTCTGTTGTGCAGAATTGCTGGTGGAGAAGTGGGTGTTGGGGAGCTGGGGGCAGGAAATAGAAAATATTGGACAGGAATGTCCTGCAGTTGTTTGAAGCCTAAACAAAAACCCATTCTTGGCCAGGTGCAGTGGCTCACGCCTATAATCCCAGCACTTTGGGAGGCTGAGGTGGGCCGATCACTTGAGGTCAGGAGTTCAAAACCAGCCTGGCTAACATGGTGAAACTCCATCTATTCTAAAAATACAAAAATTAGCCGAGTGTGGTGTTGGGTGCCTGTAATCCCAGCCACTCTGGAGGCTGAGGCAGGAGAATCGCTTGAACCCGGGAGGCGGAGGTTGCAGTGAGCAGAGATCGCACCACTGCACTCCAGCCTGGGTGACAGAGCGAGACTCCCTCTCAAAAAAACAAACAAATCTATTCTTCTTGTGGTGTCAGCCCACAGAGCCATCAGCTTAGATAGGCTCTGCCCTTCTTGGGACCCTAGGCTCCTGGATCTGTCACAGTACGAGTAGGGAGGGAAGGGTGGTCATTTGAGGGATGTAGACACCTGATAATTATGGTTAAGAATTTGCATATTCAAATCCCTGCTCTGATACTTACCAGCTATGAGACCTTTGGCAAGTACCTAACCTTTGTGAGTCTTCATTTGTTTTTATTTAGAGATGGGGTCTCGCTCTGTTGCCCAGGCTAGAGTGCAGTTGCATGATCGTAACTCAGTGTAACTTCAAACTCCTGGACTCAAGTGATCCTCCCACCTCAGCCTCCCAAGTGATCCTCCCGCCTCACCCTCCCAAGTAGCGAGGACTATAGGTTCATGCCACCATGCCCATACCTCGCTAATTAAAAAAAAAAATTTTTTTTTTTTGTAGAGACAGAGTCTCACTGCGTTGCCCAGGCTGGTCTCGAACTCCAGGCCACAAGAGATCCTCCTCCCTCAGCTTCCAAAAGTGCTGGGATTACAGGCATGAGCCACAACATTCAGCCCGAGTTTTAGTTTCTTTATGGGTAAAATGAAGATCTTGGCAGTTGTCCGGGTCAAATGGCAGAATATGTGTAAAGTCCTTAGTATGGTGCCTGGCACATGGTAAGCACTTATTAAATAATGGTTGTCATTATAATTCAACAAGTGTTTACTGAGCATCCTCGTGGTACCCGGCACTATGTCAGCAGCAGACCCACTGGCAGTACCAGAGCCTGGCGATTGCACCTCGAGGCTCCAAACACGCACAAACTTAAGAATTCAGCAGAAGCAAGAAGCCAGAGTTAGAAGTTCCCTGAGAACAAAAGTCCCTAGAGTGTACAGAGAATGGAGGGAGGGCTTCGCGTGACCCAGGGCATGGGATGGGGCTTGAGGAAAAGTTGCCTCACTCTCATGGGGACCCCTGCCGATGCCCGGTTTATAGACATGGCAGAGTGTGCCCCCTGCTCCTGGCTGGCAGAGGCCTGACTCTGTGAAGGTGCTGGGGCAACACTCCCAGGTGGAGGGGTGAATTTTGTTTGTTCCTAATTAAATATGGCTCCCATTCCCTTTTTATTTTTGTTTGTTTTGAGACAGTCTCGCTCTGTTGCCCAGGCTGCAGTGCAGTGTCATGATCTTGGCTCACTGAAACCTCTGTCTCCCGGGTTCAAGCGATTCTCCCACCTCAGCCTCCCGAGTAGCTGGGATTACAGGTGGCCACTACCATGCCCAGCTAACTTTTGTATTTTTAGTAGAGACAGGGTTTTACCATGTTGGCCAGGCTGCTCTCGAACTCTTGACCTCAAGTGATCTGCCCGCCTCAGCCTCCCAAAGAGCTGAGATTACAGGTGTGAGCCACCACGCCTGGCCACATTCCCTTTCTTTAGCAAAGAACTTGCTCAGAGTCATGCGGGTAGTAAGCAGGTAAAGCTCATCTTTCAATCTGTGTAGTTTGGGTTGGGGGGGTTGGTTGTGTGTGTCCCTTTTCCAGAAGATAAGAAATAGTAGGACCAGGCTGGGCGCGGTGGCTCATGCCTGTAATGCCAGGACTTTGAGAGGCTGAGGTGGGCAGATCATGAGGTCAGGAGTTCGAGACCAGCCTGACCAACATGGTGAAACCCCGTCTCTACTAAAAATACAAAAAATTAGCCGGTGGCGTTGGTAGGCACACGCCGTGTAATCCCAGCTTACTCAGGGAGTGCTGAGGCAGGAGAATCGCTTGAACCAGGGAGGCGGAGTTGCAGTGAGCTGAGATCGTGCGCCTGGCCACTCCAGCCCTGGGTGAGCAGAGTGAGACTCCATTCTCAAAATAAAAATACAAAATAAAAAAAAATAAATAGTACCGGAGGAATTAGGCTGTAGAACTATAACCTGTGCACTCAGGAAGTACACAAATTAAAGGTTAGCTGATTTTATGTTTGCTTGTGCCAGTCTTTTCTCCTCTCTCTGTTCAGCTTCTTTTTTTTCTTTTTTTTTTGAGAAGAGCGTTTTGCTCTTGTTTGCCCAGGCTGGGAGTACATGGCCTTCACCTCGGCTCAACTGCAACCTGCGCCTCCGTGGTGTTCAAGCGGATTCTCTTGCCTTCAGCGCTTCCCAAGTAGCTGGATTTCAGGGCATTAGCCATCACGCACTGGCTAATTTTGTTTTTTTTTTTTTTTTTTTTTTTTTTTTTTGAGACGGCAAGTTCTGCTCTGCGCCCAGGCGTGGAGGCAGTGGCCGGATCTCAGCTCACTGCAATCTTGCCTCCAGGTTTAAGCCATTCTCCGAGCCCAGCCCAGGCCGATAGGCTGGGACTACAGGGCGCCCACCACCTCGCCTGGCTAGTTTTTTGTTATTTTTAGAGAGAGGGGTTTCACGCATGTTAGGCCAGGATGTTCGGATCTTCCTGCCTCGCTGATCCAGCGCCGTCTCGGCCTCCAAAGTGCTGGCGATTAGCAGGCGTGAGCACCCCCGGCCCAATTTTTTGTATTTTTATAGAGACGGGTTTCACCCATGTTGGGTCAGGCCTGGTCTCGAACTTCGACCTCAGTGATCCACCTGGCCTCGGCCTTCCACAAAGTGGCTGGGATTACAGATGTGCGCCACTAGTGCCCAGGCCTATTTCAGCGTATCTTTAGGACACTCTTGTCGTGGCACTTAAATACTATTTACAAAAACGTTAAATAAATTTCTTACATTTTCCCACTCCCTTGCAGTAGCTCTAGCCAAAATAACGTAAGGTCTGGCAAGCATAAGTTGGCATATGCAACTTTCAAGGAATGCCCTTAAATGGACGGCATTGTGTCTTCTTCTCCCCTTTTCTCTTGGTCTTGCTGCATGGGTAAGTGGTAGGCATGATGGCATGGAGGCCTGTGGAAGCAGCTTTTGGGCCATAAGACAAGAAGGTTGAATGCAGAGGAATGCTTGGGAGCAGCAAGGACAGAAAAAGTCTAGGACCTAATGATTGTGCGCCATCACCATCCAACCTGGGACTGTATCTAGAGAGAATAAAATTGTAAGTGAGGAGAAGGACAAAATTCCGATCACATTAGGCTCTGTTATTCAGGTATCCATCATTCGTGAGCTGAAGCACTGAAGATCACAACGCCTTAATACGTGGATGTCTAGAACTTGATTTAGACCCAGGCTTGTCTGACCCCGAGGAAACCGTCCCACCAGTGTTTCGTTTGTTTTTTTTTTTTTTTTTTTTTTTTGAGAGAGAGTCTCCTCTGTCCGCCCAGGCTGGAGTGGCACGTGGCCGGATCTCAGCTCACTGCAGCCTCCGCCTCTCCCGGGTTCACGCCCATTCTCCGCCTCACTGCCTCGAGTGAGCTCGCGGCACTTACAGCGCGCCGCAGCACCTCGCCCGGTAGTTTATTTATTTTGTAGGTAGATGACGGGTATCACCATGTAGCGCAGGATCGGGTCTCGATCTCGCTGACTCTGGTGATCCGCCGTCGGCCCCAAATGTGCTGGGATTTACAGGGCTTGAGCCACCGCCGCCCGGCTCCACCAGTGTTGTTGCTAAAAGCGTTGGAGGGCGTGAGCTAGCCCGTGAATCAGATCATGTGAGGAAGGCATGTTTAAAACACAGATTTATAGCCAGGTGCAGTGGCGTAACATCTTAATCCGCGTGCAATCGGGGGAGGCTGAGAGGGAAGGATCACTCGGAGCTGGCAGTCGAGATCAGGCTGGGCACATGCAAAGATCCCCTCTGTACAGAAATAATTTTTTTTTTTTTTTTTGAGGACAGAGTCTGGGCGTGTGGCCCCAGGTTGAAGTGCCGAGTGGCGTCAATTCTCACGCTGCACTGCAACCTCCACCTCACCAGGTTCAAGTGATTCTCCTGCCTCAGCTCCCAAGTTAGCTGGTGATTGACAGGATGCACGCCACCACGCCTGGCTAATTTTTCTTGGTTGTTGGTTGGTTTGTTCTTTTTGAGACAGAGGTCGTTTGCTCTGTCATCCAGGGCTGGAGTTGCAGTGGCATGATCTGGGTCATGCAACCATTCACCTTTCCTGGGTTCAGGCGCAATTCTCTGCCT